GCTGGCTGAGGAATTCTGGGAGTTGAAGTCCACAAGTCTTAAAGTTGCCAAGGTTGGACACCCCTGCTCTAGGGAATGGCAATGGCAATTCAGATTTTTTAAAATCTACTATTCTAGGACTCTGCCATAATTTTACAACATTCAATTCAGAACTAAAACTGGGAGTACAGTTTTAGATATCAAGAGCAAGCCATTGCATAACGTTTCTCAAGTGACTCCTTTTTCCCCCCTTACATTTCTACTGCCATTCATCCACTTTTCAAAATATAAATAAACTGTTACTGACTTGAATTGACATTAAACTAAGTAAATCCCTGAATTCTCATTTCTTAAAAGTGAACACTTAGGGCTTTGGCTGGGTTTTCTTTAATTTCTGGATTTCTAACTTCATCATTTCTGTTGTAGGGCCACCATTCTATGTCGCTGATTCAGACGTGAAAAGTTTATTTGGTGAGTCAATGAAAAATAAGCTTTAACCTTATGCCGAAATGTGCTTTACAGTGGTACTTGCCCTCTTCAGGAATGAAAATACTTATTTTCATAGACTAGGAGGGATCAGAGCCATGTCAACTGGCCCCTAAGCCAGTACATTAATATGGTACTTGTGGAAGGGGGTGCTGTTACATCCTAATGTCTGATAAATCTAAAAGAGTGGCATTTGTGTCAACTTATATTACTTGCATAATCAATGTAAAGGGCATCATTTGCACCAAAAAAAATCTAGATTGAATAGACAAAACACTCAATACTATGAAACATTTCTCCATTGCATGCAAATTCTCTAAATTGAGGTCTTTGAAATAGAAGGTGTACATCAAATAATGCATTCTGCTGATGTGCATACACACTTGCTTATATGAAGAATCTTTCTCTCTGTGTGTGCAAAAGATTGTCCCGTTTGGAGGTCAACTACTCAGGGTTATTTCTCTGACCTATTTTAGTAACGCATGGGAGCTAATGTTTAAAAACAGATGCAGCATTTCCTATATTGAAAATAGGCAGGGATATTATGTAGGAACGTTTATTTCCTAAACTGAATCTAGAGACATGCAATCCAAAAAAAAAAAAAAAAAGCACAGGATAAATATCAACGACCTCTATTTCTGCCAATTTTTTTCTGCTAGGAAAAAAAGAAACTTGAATATGCACATCTAGCGAACGGATACTGTATCTTCCAGTTCAAGGTTACTTTCCATGCGGAGTTCTAGTAATTCAATCTAGATTCTTGGGTTTATTCTAACTCTTTTTAGATCCCAGAGTTGTACTATAAATCTAACACCCCTTTGTGTTCACCTTTCCTAATTACTTTGGACAAAATCTACTTTGCAGACCTAGGACAGGGACATTTTGTTTTTATCTCAATCCATATCCAGTCCTATTATCTCGACTGTGCCACATGGAAATGACTCATTTCTTTACACTGCTTCAAGCTAGTTGGGTCCAGAGTGATGCCAGTGGAAAACATTCTTGTTGTCATGGCCTTGTGCTTGCAGAAAGCTGTACAAAGGACAGTAAAGAATGCCTCCTATTTGTCCTAGCCTTGTGTCAATATGCCTCATGACATATTGAGCAAAGCTCTGTGAGAACTTGGGAAGTTGGAAGTGCCTGGGAAGTTGGAAGTTGGCAGCAAACGTGGTCCATAAGGGATCAGAACAGAATAACAAGAGTCAGAAGGGACCTTGGAGGTCTTCTAGTCCAACCCCCTGTTCAAGCAGGAAGCCCTATAACATTTCAGACAAGTGGCTGTCCAGTCTCTTCTTTAAAAACTCTAGTGATGGAGCATCCACAACTGACGGCAAGCTGTTCCACTGGTTAATTGAGATGGCGCAGCTCCTTCTACTAGTGTGTATCTTAAAATACTGGGCAAGTCCTTTGTGTGGCATGAATTTTGGGAGATTGCCCAAGGTTGTTTTTTTTGCACACACAGTGATAAGAGGAGCACAGCATTGTTTTTAAATTCTCATTTCTCATGCAAGACTCTTGTTTTAGTTGGAAAATGCCTTCCATTTATGGAGGGGCTGTCCCCTGTTGGTAGGCTACCTCTGAGTCCAATTTTTAGAAATAACATCTCAGTATAAATGCACACAATTTTTTTTTTCTTATTCTTGCCACTATTTGCTATGGCTGCCTGGCTGCATTCATAGTCTTTCATTCAGATTTTTTTTAGCTCAAAAGCATGCAGAGGAAATAGCTTCACCATCATATAACAATATTACAAAACCTATTAACAGCCTCCCTATTAATTAAACCATTAGATGAGAGCACATTAAAGCGATTTTATCATAGCAGCATATAAACTTAGGATTCCTATTTTGATAAGAGTTATTAAAAATAAGCACTTATTCCCATATGAGGCATTTATAATGTGTAGCAGGAGGGGAAACAATGGTTTACGCAAAATCCGAAGGATAATGAGTGTTGTCAAAACCATTAAAAGACATTTTTTTTCTCTCTCTCTCTTTCTTCCCAGGAAAAGACTGCGACATTCATTGTCTTGAAAAAGTCTATAGTTTGGAAGAGCGACATAAGAAGTGGGGTTTAGATTATTTATGGGAGGTTTTATACTTGATTACATTGAAAGAACCAAGATGATTCCTAGACCTACCCCTCGGAGGATGAGAAGAACCACTTGGTTGCCAGACACCATAATGTTTCTGGACTGAGGATCGATCATTCTTCAGATACTTTCTTCGATTATCAATATCTCTGAGAATAATTTTCTTGAAATTTGGATATTAGAGTGGATAATAAGTGTGTCTTATATTTTTCTTAGATTAAATACTATATTAAATACTAATAATTATATATCAACGTATAGTGAGAAATAATATAGAGAATTAATTTATTGCTCTACAAAGTGTATCATAAGTGTATATCTTATTGATGAATTTGGATCTTTGGGGAAAGGATTTAGAACGGCGATTAAGAGGTGAGCAAAAGGTGATAGGTTGAATATTGAAAAGAAAGAAACTAGAGGGAGCATAATTATGGAGAATTGTGGATGGAGAGCAAGGTTAAGTACAAATCAAAATCTAAAAATAATATTTAAATTACTGGATGTTAATTTGGGATAACGTTTATAAAATTTTGAAAGAACAGAACAAAATCTTAAAAGAAATGACAAGTATCACTACAACAACACTGAAGGCTGGGGGAAAAAAAAACAGCAAACCCATCAATGTCAATTGCTTCTCCAGCAACACAAAGATCAATTGAAGGGATGCTTACCATAGAAAAACAAAGTACAACATCAAATGCACCAAATGTGCAAACAACCCTTTTAGCAATCCAAGAAACAATGATTAAACTTCGAGAAACAATGTCCAAAAACCACAGTAAAATTAAAACAGAGATGGGTGAAATGAAAAATCATATACACAAATTAGATGAAAAAAATGGGCTCAATTCAACAGGTGATAGAAAAAATGAATAAACAATAAAAGCTGTGGAGACAAGAACGGAACAGACGGAGAAGAAATTGGAGTTGGTGGATCAGAAGATGATAGAGTTAAATAAAGATCTAGAGGATTCTCTCATCCATTTAGAGATGGACCCCGCGCGCAGTCTTTTATCGAGGTATTGATGGAAGCAAAATTATCGGACTCGTGGAGGGAGGCGTACATCTCTTTAATACAAAAAGAGGGTATAGACAACAAACATTCAAAATTGTAGGCCAATATCATTATTAAATGCCGATTGTAAAATATTTACAACTATAATAGCAGAAAGATTGAAAAAATTATTGAATGAATCTATACACCACGATCAAAATGGATTCCTCCCAACAAGGCAAATCAGAAACAATACAAGAATAGTAATAGATATACTGGAATATTATCAGGCCCATCCAGAAAAACAAGCAGCACTTGCTTTTCTGGATGCACAAAAGGCCTTTGTCAATCTTAATTGGCAATTTATGATACAACAAATTAAAAATATGAAATTAGGAGGCAAGTTCAAGAAAATGATAGAGGCGATATATTCCACTCAAAAAGCGAGTATATTAATAAATGGGGAGAATACAGAGACCTTTACAATAATGAAAGGGGTAAGGCAGGGTTGTCCAATGTCACCTCTGGTCTTCATTCTGACACTAGAAATTTTATCAATTCGAATCAGACAAAATTCAGATATAAAAGGAACCAGAATTTTAAAAGAGGAATATAAAATTCAAGCTTTTGCAGATGACCTGGTATTCTTCATAGAAGACCCATTGGAGTCAGGAAATACTTTAATTCGAGAATTAGAATAATACTATTAGAAGTATCAGGTCTTAAAATTCCTTTCTATGGGAAATGAAAAGTAAGAAGCAAACATATTTTTATAGACATTACATGAGAGATTCATTGATACAGATTTGGAATAAAATTGTAATCATACATTCTACTACATATTTTGACAGCAGCAAGGATAGTATATGCACAAAGCTGGAAACAAAATAACATGCCTTCAGAGGAATTAATAATTCAAAAAATTCTAGATTGTAATGAAATGGACAAATTGACGTTAAAATTAAAAGATAGGAAAGAGTCAGTATGAAATTTGGGACAATTGGTATAAATGGTTGAACAATTGAAATAAAGATAATGGAGATAAGAAAATTATAGAAAAATGCATATGAATATATATAAATGTAGATGTAGATATTCACATGAGATTGTTTTTTATAAGTATGATGACACAGCAATGTTAATATTAAGGTTAAAATGTTTTAAAGTTGAAAAAGAACAATAAAAATTATTGGGTAGGGGAAAAGTCATTTTTTCTCTCTCTTTCCTCCCAGGAAAAGTCTGACATTCAGTGTCTTGAAAAGGTCTATAGTTTGGAAGAGCGACATAAGTGGGGTTTAGATTATTTATGGGAGGTTTTATACTTGATCACATTGAAAGAACTGAGATGATTCCTAGACCTACCCCTCGGAGGATGAGGAGAACCACTTGGTTGCCAGACACCATAATGTTTCTGGACTGGGGATCTATCATTCTTCAGATACTCAAGCCTTACATCAGGATTTGTGCTTTCTCCCCATTTTCCCTTCTATTGGGTTCCTCCTAATCAGCATTATGCCAAGCTAAATGCATTTGTAACATTACACAATATTGACTTTGCTGGAAAAGGTTTCTTGGCTGTAGTTGCTCAGAAAAATGTCTATTAGAGCAGGGGTCCCCAACCACCGGTCCGCGGACCGGTACCGGTCCATGGAACAAGTCCTACCGGGCCGCTGGCTTGCTGGGCGCCGCCATCTTTTTT